CACTCCCCGCATTTAGAGACAATGAGCAGGACGGGGTAATGAATTACAATCTCCTTTGTCTGTGGGTGTCAGGCAAGATAATCCTATAGTTCCATTTAAATCAGAGCATGATACAGTCCCTTCTTCGGTCAAATAAGCTCATTTGGCGAGAATGTAAAACGTGTCCTTCCGGAAACGGCGGGATTAGCAAACCCGTGTCGGGGAGGGGGAGTATCAACAGGCCGTTCAGGTGGGGGGGGTGGGGGGTCTCCTGAAAGGGCCGACAGGGCACAGGGCACCCTGACCCAGCGTAATGTAATAAAGGCATGTTTATTCACCCGCTGCTCCAATTACTGCCTGTGTCCACAGGTGGGGGGGGGGTCATGCTGCCCCCCACCGGGAGCCTTTTTCACTCCGATCTACCGCTCGCCAGATCTGTTGCCAAGCACCAACATGTGGCTTTGAACATAAAAATATTACAAATGAAAAAGGGAGCTGCTGGTGGGGGACAGGCTGGGGGTGGCAAGGCTCGCAGGCGTGTCGGGGGGGCGTAGACACCCACCAGGTCTGCACGCTCAGCACGCTCCCGGACCAGGAAGACATAGGGCTTCAGCCAGAGAGAACCCGCACGGCTCGTCCATGGAATCAGTCAGATCAGCTGCCCATAACAGGCTCAGCATTGCTGGAGGAGATGGCCCAGGGTTGCCCAGGTGAGAAGGTGGGGCGCAGAGCTTAGGAGACTAAGAGATCCAGGGAGTAAAGATCCAGACAAGAAAGGTCTAAAGGAAAATGACCTATAGGGGAAAGATTCAAAGAGGAAATCTCTAGAGAGCAATGATCTAGAGAAGAAAGCTTGAGAGAAGGGAAAAGATCCAGAACAAAAGGAATCCAGAGAGAACAGGTCTGGAAAAGAAAGATCCAGAGAGGAAAGGGACCCAGGGAAGAAACATACAGGGGGAAAGGATCCAGAGGAGTAAGGGATCTAAAACAGAAAGGGACACAGAAGAGAGATCTGGAGAAGGAAGATCCAGAAAAGATAGATCTCAAAAGTAATGTTGATTTAGCCTTGGGCAAGAAACCAGGTTTCCTTCAATAACAATATCAGGCTGTGTACGCTGATGATGACAAGATAGGCGTGAGAAACTTCACACATAAACAGCTGTGTTTAAGATTAAGTGTGGCCTGTTTCAGGCACAGCTCAGCGAACAGCAGGCTGTGGGCGATGACGGCCCAGCCTACGCTCTGCCGGAGATGCGGCGTTCAGAGAGACGCACAGCTAAGGGTTTCGGGGACGTCAGAGTCGTTACTGAAACATCTCCCCTCTCATGGCATGAAGACGTGATGGTTACATGGGACGAGCCCACACGCGGCACCGCGACCCAAAGCCCTTACGTAAGGCTCCCCGAGAGTTTGACGGCCCGGCTCCAATCCGACATGTGTGACAAGGGGCCACCCACAGAGGCAGCACTAATAGCTCACAGGCACAGTGGTACAACTTCAAAGCACCATAGCCCTC